TAAAAAGAAAAAGGGGGGGTGGTATTTACAAGGGATTTCACTCAAATAATGAAATAAATGTGATCAGCCGAGGGAACCTTAATCCGCTTTGACTCTTGTGTCCTGGGGAACGGACGCAGAGATCTTTGCTGCTTCCAAGTCCCAGTGAGACGGGAAACGAAGCAACCCTGTCCCTGCCTGCCTGGGGGGCACAGTCACAGCCCCATCCTCAGCCAAACACTGCATTCAGACACAGGAGCATCAGCCAAGGATTTCTGGGTCAGCACTGGAGAAAACCACCTCTTCGGTCACCTGCTCCCACCCTGCAGTGAACATGTCCCTGCCCTGGCCTGGAGCCCCCTGTGCCGAGGCGAGAACTGGCCACATCTCTATTTCAGGTGGCCACACACACGTAAAAGTCATCAGCTGTGCTCACGCATCTTCCTCTGCAGCATCACCCGCTCTGACAGCACCCTCCGCACCACACGCGTGTGCAAAAGGGAGGAACCTTCCTATTTCTTTACGCTTTGCCCCAATATATTAAATTTTTAGCCTGGAAATGACATGGTTAATTATCACTTTAATCCAAAAACTTTGCTAAAAATCATGCAGATGATTCTCTCTAACTGGGGAGAAACCTTTGAGCCCCAGAAAGGATTTGTGGCTGCTGGGGCCGTTCTGCACGACTTGGTGCTGGGGCTGTGTCGAGAGCTGGGGCTGCTGCACCGAGCCGCTGGGACCTGGTTAAACCCACAGGTCCTTCACCCCCATCAGAGACACCCTGAGCGGATAGAAGGGGTGCGTTTGCCCAAGAAAACCCATCACGGGGTGAACTAAAGCCACACCTGTGCTACCGCAGGGACACCCTGTGTAACACCCTTCCTAATTCGCCCTGAGTCCTCCAACCCGCCAGCCTGCTCTCTGGGTGCCCCGCTTCCCTCCTGGCTCATCCCAGGGGGACACAGAGCTGGAGTCACCCCTTCCTGGGGGACAGCAGAGAGGACCTCCCGGCAGCCCCAGGGCAGGGAGGGCAGCACAGCCCTGGTGCGGGAAGGGATTTACCCCCCTTCATTTCAGCAGAGCCCCGGCCACAAACATACCAAACAGCTTGTTGGAATAAAAGCCCAGATTAGGTTGGGGAGGGGGGGAATGAAACACCCCAGCCGTGATTCCCACATATGCCCGAAGATA